TTTGAACATGCACAACTCAGCCTTAGTCACAGTCTGCACAAATATGTTCAGCCAGTTCACGTCCCATTGTCAGTGACATTTACTCAGTATTCTTTTTAAAATATATTCTCTTAGAATAAAATACATGACATAAAATATCCCATCTTAGCTATGTTTAGCTATGTACAGTTCAGGGGCATTAAGTTCATTCCCACTGTTGTCCAGCCATTGCCACCATCCACCTCCAGAACTTTCTCATGTCCCCATATTGCATCTGTCCTCACTGAAGACTGACACCCAGACCCTTCTCTTTTTCTGCGTAATGATTTTCCCAGACCAAGGAAGCTTTTCAGGTTTTCACATCATTTTTTTTTACGTAGGCTAAGTTAGGTGTGCAGATCCGGTGAATCCTAAGTTCTGTGAGATGGTCCGGGGCTCTTTTTGTGCCCTGGAACTTTAGCTGATGACAGTTTCCTGTTGTGGCCACCCTGAGCTGGCCCCCAAGGGTCTCAGTGGCTGTCCATGTGCTCTTCGTGTGAGAAGTACGTATCTCTCACTAATGCTGCTGGACTTCCCAGGAAAGTGACCCTGTGCTCTTGTGGGCTAGGGGGACTGGAACCATCAACACTCGCTCCTGTCTGGGACCTGCCTGTGCTGGACTCAGAGGGCTGGTCACCTGCATTGACCAACTCAATGAGCGGAGGCCTGGCTTTGTAAAGGTAGAGTCTCTAGGTCAAAGCCTGTGCCCTGTTTTAGGCCCAGCCTGTTTGAGAACTGCTCCTTCCCACCAGTGTGCCCCCTGCTGAGGTCTCGACCTCAGCCCTGGCAGGCCGCTTGCAATCTTTCAAGTTCCCAGGGCACCTGGCTGTGGAGATATTGAAACGATGTCCGATAACACACTGGACGTCCCTCAGGGCTGGCTCTGCGGTCACAGCTGCTAAGGTTAATTTGCTGCTAGTGGAACAGTAAGGTATTGTCCCTAGGGTGCCACTACCCCCCAACCCCCCTGCAGGGCACCTCCTGGGAACTGGGCACAGGCAGAGTTTGGCTCGGTGGCCTCCTGGAATTGTGGTCCCCTCCCCAGCCTTCCACACTGCCCACTCCCTGTCCAGAATGCATGGGCAATGTCTTCCTCCCCCTGAGCCTCAGTCACCCTGCTCTTGTGAAGGGGTGACTTGGAACAGTCTGACCTTGGAGCTCTAGGTGCAGAGCTGGGGTGAAAGGGCCACGGCCACCTGCAGAGGTAAGAGGGCTGCATTAAGGGTGCTAGGCTGTGAGCGCCCCAAGGACAGGGCCCACAGCTTGGCCTCTCTGAGGTTCCTGGCCCCACCTAGGACAGGAACAGATAGAATGGTAAATAAGATAAAACTCATTTTATCTGAAATAGATAAAAAAATAAACTGTGCTGTATAATTCTTTCTCAAGCCAGTACAATGTACTCAAATATTTGAAGAACCCTTCAGCCCTGAATGCGGCGAAGCAAAGGAATAGCACATGGGGCGGATTAGTGCTCCATTCCCTGAGCTCAGGCTGCGTCTGCCTGTCACTGGCTGGGCAGGGGCGTCCTGGGAAGCCCCTTAGATCCTACCAACCTCCACCTGCCTTCCCTGGTATAGCCATGGCTCTCCCTCCATAGGGAAACCCTCCTTTCATCCCTGCCTGGACCATCTCTGTGGGTGACAGACACTCTGGTGCCCTAAGGAGGGGTGGCCTGGTGGCTGGCTGGTAGTGGCAGACCTTCTACACTCCAGCCTCACCTGGCTGGTTGCTTCCCTCTTCCACAAGGCCCTTGCCCGTTGCCTGAGTCCCTCCCAGCGACACAGCCAGGGAGCTCCAGCCATGGAGTCCTGCAACTTCCTGGCTGTGGCCTGTTCCTAGAACTTTGTGCCCTCACCAGGCCACGAGATTCCTCTGAAAGCATGGTCCTCACCAGCTGTGACCTCGGCTCTCTTGTCCAGAGCTGCATCCTCCTCACAGCCACAGTAAATGCTACATTATTATTCTGACAGAAAAAGAGATGAGAGGCTGTGATCAACCCTAGATCCTTGTCACTCCCATGGTTCAACTTTTGTGCGAAGAGGCCCGGGAGCCCTGATTTTCCCTGAGGCAGCTATTTGATTACAACCTGGCGACTCTCAGCCTGCCAGGCTCTTGTGAGATCTAAGCCACTGTAACACACAGGCTGGGGCGGCAAGCAGTGGCCACCCTTGGGGGCTTCTTGGTGCTGGGCAGGAAGTGGCTACGTGGTCCTGGTGGAAGCCTATGAGTGGCAGTGATTTCTGCTACATCTTCATGGTGGAGTTAGCATGGCAAGCTTCCGGGTGTGTCTGAGGTCTCTGGGAGAAGTCACAGGGCCGAGCCCCTGGAGAGGTTCAGCCACACTGTTCTCCACAGCCCCATGAGGAGGTAGCTGTGGGCTCTGATTTATGCCACTCAGGAAACTGAGGCAAGGACCCTCCCAGACCTCTTGGTGCAGAGGGGAGGCTGACAGGCCATGCAGCTCTCTGTGCAGGTCCTTCTCCAGCTCCACATGTGCTGAGTTCTGGGGAGCAGCAGGCAGCCCCTCCCACCTGGGCAGTGCCACCTGCCAGGGGCATCACCTTTTTTGCTTCCTCTTAGCTGAGCCGGGCCAGGCCTGATCCCACTTCCGTGCTTGCTGCAAATCAAAACAGACGTGCGGGAGGATTAGTCATGGCCTCAGTGGCGTGGGGCCTGGAGGGACTGCGTCCTGGCTGGTGCTTCAGAGTCCTGAGGCCCAGATAGGCTGAAGCACTCTGAGGAGTGGGCCAGGGTACATGGCTTGGGTGCAGCCCTACTGTGGGACTGAAGGGTGGAAACCAGGCTGCGGGCCGGGTAGATGGACCAGTTCCCAGCACCACAAGCTGCATCTCTGATGAGATGGGCCCTCACCCCTGCCTGCATTGGCTGTGTTCCCCAGGAGGGAGCGCTTTCTGAGGTCCCCAGGGGTCCTACTGCATGTGGTGACAAAAGCCTGTACTCTGTGCCCACTCTGGGCCAGTGCTGTGCAGATCATGACCTGGGGGACAGGGCATGGCAGTGACAGCATGGGAACCACCTGGGTCCCAGGAAGCAGTCCTGACCCTGGGAGCCAGGCAGGAAGGGTCCTCAGAGCCGAGGCCATGTAGAAGGAGAACATGCAGGGAAGTGTTGTTGTCTGTGCTAACAACAGGGGCTTCAAGAAGCTGGAGACCTGGCCTGGGAGGACCCAGAGGAGGTGAGGCTTGGGGAGGGGATGGATTACCCACCCAGGGGTCCTGGAGGACTCAAGTTGAGGTGACCAAGATCATACTGCTTCAAATCGAGCATTTGCATGGATGGCGGATGTGACCTCAGTGCTGAGCCGGGTAGTAGCCATGGGGATTAAGTGGAGGTATGCCTGCGAGCAGACTGAGCACCTACTCTTTGCCAGGCTGTGTCCTAGGTGCCTGTTCTTGGGCACTCATAGCGTGGGGGTCCAGTGGTGACACTTGAACGTCAGGAGTTATGATGGGGACAGGGAAAGAGGTTGGAGCTGGGTTATCTGCTATAAGGCTCCTTGCTGCCTGGGTAAAGACTTCCAGGCAGGGCAATGGCAAGTGCAACGACCCTGTGGCAGACCCACAAGGCATACTTAAGACCAGGAGCTGCCGTGTTGTCGCATTGAGGGGATGATGTCTAGGGTTTACACCCCTGTTAGGTGGCCTAGGCCGGGGGCTGAGAGTGGTGGGTAGGTGTCAGAGTTGGGTTGAGAGTATGGGCTGGGGTGCGGTACACAGGTGGAGCTGACAGTGCAGGAGGGGTGGGGTATCCTGAGGTTGGTAGGGTTTGGATCCCAGCAGCAGAGGGCACTGTGTAGCCAGTGGGACCCAAGGAGCTCGGAAGGGGGCATGAGCAAGACCTCAGCCTCGGTCAGTCCCCCAAGGTCTTTGGGTGGGCTGAAGAGACCAGGAAGGGATGGCTTTGCCCACGGAGCTTACAGGAGACCCTCAAGTCCCGGTGCCTCCTGGAAACCGAGCTGTGGTGGCAGCCTGTGTGTGGCCTCTGTGGGGTGGGGTGGGGTGGGTGGGCTGTGTGTGTTGACAGACGGGACAGGTGGGAGGGGCGTGCTCCTGCTGGGCTGAGCCCAAGAAGCAGAATGCTGGCAGGGGCTGGAGAGTCCTGGTTGCTGTGGGAAGTTGTGCAGGGCAGGGTGGGGCTGGAAGCCCCTGGCATGGCAGGGTCTCAAGGAGGGAGGGACTGGGGCTCCCAGCTCTGGGCAGCGGGTCTGTGCTTTCCCCCAGGCAGGAGGAGGGAAGGGGCACTTGTGCCAGATCACACCTATGGACATTGCACCCGGGAGAAGATGGATGAGGGACTCTGAAGGTTCATGCTCCTTATCTTCACGGGTCCCTTATGACCGGAGTAGCATGTCTGTGTTTTGTGTATACCCATGGGGATATAGGGGAAGCCTGGGCACCAGCCTCTTCTCTCTGCCTTCTTCTGATGAGCTCCAGGGCTGCTAAGTCCCTATTGATTTCCCTGGCCCTGAACTCCTGCATTCAGGAGTGGCTCGTCTGGAAGGAATTCGTTAAAGCAGCTTTAATGAGATTACAGTCACCCACTGAGGTTCCCTCATGAGAAGTGTATACCTAGAGGTTGATTCCCAGGGTATCTGAGAGCAGGGAGGCCACCACAGTGTTACAGTCAAACTGTGTAGTGACAGTGGGCTCTGGACCTTCACACCCGATGACCCCCAGCTGCCTTCCATTCCTGTGGCTTTGCCTGAAATGAAATAGTCACACCATAGGTGATCTTCGGGGGTCTGGCAAAGCAGTACAATGTTTTGGGCACCCTTCCTTGTGATGCCTGGACAGCTTTCACCCTGTGGACCCCACATCTGGGTGTCCACTCACCAGCGATGGGCTTTTGGCAGCTGTAAGATCTTTGGCCTGGGTAGTGCCTCAGGGTAGTAGGTGTCCTGAAGTGTGACTTGGGGTAGACAGGTGGCTGGGATGCTGACACCCTCTCCCCCTGTCTTACAGTTTCCTCATTGTCCTGGCCTGCCTCATCTTCAGCGTGCTGTCCACCATTGAGCAGTATGCCGCTCTGGCCACCGGGACCCTCTTCTGGATGGTATGTAGGAGCTTGGGGCTCTAACTGGGTAGCACGGCTGCCCTGAGGCGGAGCAGGGCCGTCCCAGCCTCTCAGCAGCTCTGCTTGGAGGTGGGCTGGAGATGTGGGCTCCTCCTTAGTCCCATACCTGCCGGGCCACTCAGAACCTGCTTGTGGCAGACAGGGAAGCCAGGGAGCGGCAGGAGCCTGGATCCTTTGGTGCTGGAGGACTTTCTGGAGGATCTTTTGGGCTGGGTGAGGAAGGGAGGACAGGAGGATGGTGGAGCTGGGGCCAAGTGACTCCTGTTTGTGTTATCACTGGCACATGGACCTTAGAAGTATCCTTGCCCTGTCCGTCACCCCATGGCCTAGAGGGTCTTCGTCATCCCAGGAGGCAGCCTGGTATCACATCTCGCAGGCTCCTCCTGAAAAACCCCCTGCTGGAGGCATGCTAACTGTGGTGTACCCCCTTGGGCACTTCCCTCCCGGTGAGTGAGGCTGGGACAGGCCATCCTGTACACACCCTTGAGGAGTGCCCAGGCCATCTGAGGACTAGGATGCTCAGTTGCCATTTTCCTGGCTCTGCTTTTATGGCTGAGAGTGGTGTTTGGTTGTTCTCCCATCGAACTGTGAGCCCCTGAGACTGAGCCGGGGAAGGATCCCAGGGTCCCCCAAAACCAAGGATAGGCCCCACTCTGGGAAGGGGCTGAGAGCCTGGCCCAGTGACGATGAGGGTGAATTGACCCTTGCCACTGTGCTGGTGACCAAGCAGGGAGCACTGTTGCCCCATAGAACTCACAGCCAGCAGGAAACCTGCAGTTGAAAAGGGGTGCAGGGCACCAGCATGTCTTGGGGGTGCAGGATCTGCGAGGGAGCTGCCTGAGCATGACTTAGGTAGGCAATCAGGGCTCTGGAGGAGCCGAGGCCAGCATCGTTCTGCTTGTGTCCTTTTGCATGTTCTCTGTCCCATCCTTGGAGGTGGAACGAGGCTGGCAATGCAGTGTCGCACCTCCCTGCTTGCAGAGCTGGCCTGATCACAGGCTCTTTGAGAGCCCGGGAAGGAGCTCTGTCAGCACATGTGCTTGCTGTCCCTTTACTGAGTGCGCTGGACAGGTAACCCCCAGGACCCTGGCTTTAAGGGCAGGTCAGCCTCCAGCTTTTCTGGAAGGAGCGTCCCGGCTGCTGGGCACAGGATTGTGTTTTTCACATTTCTGAGCAGTCCATCCAGGCCCATATCTGTGTAGTTTTGATCTGATGGTGTCACATGCTATCCGGCGTCTCTTCTGAATGTCACAAGCATCCTACCTCTTCTCCGTGATCCCAGCATGTGACATTCCTACCGTCAAAGCATCCACCTTTCTTGTTGGGCCCTTTTGTGCATACCAGGAACAGGGTCTGGGAGGGTCTCAGCATCATCTTTGCAGAGTCAGGGCCTCCATTTTCTTTCCTGCTCAGGGGGCACAGGTCTCGCGTGCCATGATAGTCCCACAGCACCTCTACAGGGTCACCATGTCCCCTGGCTCACAGATCTGAGTCTATGACAATGACTGCCACGCTGCTGGCTGTGTGTCCTGAGAGGGGATGGTCATGCCCTGGCCGCTGCCCGAGGATGTATTTGCTTGAGAGAAGCAGGCCAGGCCTTCCTTTCCTGGTTCCTCTCTGGAGGCCAGGTCTGTGGGGACCCCAGCTGGGGGCTGAGGGTGCCCAGTGGTTTCCAGGTCTTGGAGGTCAGCTGCTAACATGTTTCCCTGGGAGTGCCATGTCCACGTCTGTGTACATGTGACCATATGTACGTACAAGTACATGTGTAACTGTGTGTTTACATATGGGCACGTTTTCACATCACTGTTCGTGAGTCTGCATGTGTGCCTGAGTGTGGCTGTGTGAGTGTGTCATGTGCTAGCTTGGGTCTGGAAACTGACCACCATCAGTCTCCCAGGGCCGCAGGCCCCTTTCCCGCCAACAGCCGCTGCCTCCACACCCTCCCACCCAGCTCTGCATCGCTGGCATCCTTGCGCCACCTGGTGGCCAGTCTCGGGATGGCTCTGTCCCACAGAGGTTTCCCTGCCTGGGCCTGTGAGTTCCAGAGGAGCAGGCCTTGGCCTTAGGTGAAGCCTCCCCAGCTCCTAGATGTGTCGCCAGAAGTGGCCCTTTCTTACCTGTGAGGGCAGCGACCCAGCCACCTTCAGCTCCTTTGTCACCTTCTCCGCTTGCTCACTTGGCATTCTATCCACCCAACAGCCAGGGAAACACTTTCTAAAACAAAAATCAGATGCCTTCAAAAGATCCTTGTGATACTAGGATAAACTCCAGCTTTTCTTGTGTGGCCCCTCAAAGTGCCAGGAATTGGGGTCCAAATCCCTCCAGACTCCCTGCCATCACCTCTCTCCCCTCTCTTTCCTCCTGGCTGCTGCAGGGCCTGCCACCACCTGGCTATTTCTCTGGCATCTTGTAAGGCTGGCTTCTGGTCAGCTCCATATGCCTCCCTCCTAGCAATTCAGTGTTTTCTCAGCAGTTAGAGCATGATGGGGATCTGCAGGGGAAACCAGCACATGGTTTCCTCATGTCACCCCACACTTCTCAGGGGCAGACCCACTATGTCTACACTCACTTTCCCTGTCCCAAATGGTGTTTCCAGGTTTGTACACTCCTTCAAGCCTGATGACCAGGACACCCCAAGCTGCTGTGGGGTCCCAGACCTCAGTTTTCCCATCTGCAACATGGGAAGGATCAGAGAGGTCCTCAGACCTGGTATATGTTACTCTGTTTGGAGGGGTTACCATAGGCCATAGGTGGCACTAGGGACCCTGGGGACAGCAGGAGTGAGGCAGTCATGGGCCTACCCATGATGGAACTGTGAGAGGAAGTGGGAGAGCTGCAGGACAGTGAAGGCTTCTCCAAGGTGAGAAGGGGCCCCACTGTGCCAGGGCCAGATGGAAAGAGATCCCACCACTGATGTCCTCGGGGCCTGGCAAGCACAGGGCCTTGGGTGGGCAGAAGTAAGATGAGACTTCGCCAGGTGTGGTGGTGCACACATGGATTTCCAGCATTTGGGGGGCTGAGGCATGGGGATTGCCATGATTTTGAACCCTACCTGGGCTATGTCGTGAGACCCTGTCGCAAAAAACAAAAAAAAAAGAAAAAGAATAAATAGTAGTCGTTAGGGCTTTCAAACCATGGGCACAGCAAGGGGGCAGTGGATGGGGTGGGCATGGTGGACTTAGGGGTGAAGGCTGGCAAAGCAGCCTCCGCTGGCCATGGAGCCACCAGGGGGCGCTCTGGTCGCGCGCATCTCCTGGGGAGTTTGGAAGCCCCAACCACAGCAGCGGGCGCCCCACAGGGGCCCAGTGTGAGGCTGCGCGGGCTTGGAGAGCGTGATGTGCAGATGGAGAAAAACAGCCGCTCGAGGACGTGTTCCTGGGACCGAGTGTTTTTTCTTCTTGGGCTGCGCCTGGCTTCTGGTGCCAGGAAGCTGTTATCTCAGCCGGGGTTAAGGAAGCCCCAGGGCGGCTTCGGAGGGATTAAGCATTCTGCTGAAGCAGGGATTTTTGGTGGGCCTGAAAAAGCCATTTTAGCAAGAATCTCATCTCGGCCAGGTCTGGCCCTGGACTTGGAACAGGCTCATTTGAGATCTGCACGGCTCTGAAAGCTAGTTACAGCTTCCCAGGGAGAGAGTCTTAACTTGGTTTCTGAAATCCCAGGGCTGTGTGTGTACGTGTGTTTGTGTAGGCGTGGAACACAGACGTGTGCACACAGTGTCCCGCTCAAGATGTCCCTGCGTGTGCCTGTGTGTGTGTGTGTCTGCCGTATATGGATTTACACGTGTACCCGAGTTCTTTTGGTAGCTCTTTCCCTCCCAGATTTAACCGTCAGTGTGAACTCTCCCTGATTTCTCTGTAGTAAGAAACACTGCCCTGGCCCAGGTGAGGGACTGGGTTTTGTTTCACTAATCACAGTGTTTTAATTTTTTAAATTTATTTTCTTGGTCAAATCCCACACAAAGCGAGGAGTCTTGAAAAGCACAATACACACGTGCGTGCCCTGAGCCTCCCGGTGGCCAGCATACCAGGGAATTGTCCTGTGATGCCTGTGGTTGGGAACCGTGTGCTGGGGTGGAGGCCTGGGGGATGAGGTCATTGCTTATGGCTTCCTCCCCTCGCTGCAGTTCCCTCAGCCCTGGCCGCCACAGTGACCCACCCTCCTCCTCCAGCTGGATCCTGCACTGCCTGAGCTTGCTGTGTCCCCCCGCCTGCAGGCCTCAATTTCCTAGCAGCAAAGTAAGACCCTGTGGGGGCCCTCCGGGCCCTGTGATGGTCCTTGGTGTCTTTCCCTCACCGTAGAACAAGATCCCGGTCCTGCCTGCAGATGCCCACTTTTCCAGCATCTGCTATCCACACACTTTAATGCCTCTCACACCCCTCACTGGCAAAGTACAATTCCCGACACAGTGTCGCATTTGGTACTGTGTCGGTGCTTGTGTCGTGTCTGGTTTTGTACCGTGGGCGTTGTGCTGTATCTGCCGTAGCACTGGTATTTGTGCTGAGTATGTGCTACGTTTGGTGTCGCGTACTAACGCACTGGCCTTGGCCTGTGTCTGGCTGGGTGTCGCCCAGACTGTGTTTGCTCTTGAATCCTGTGTCCACTGGGGAATTGTCTGCTCCACACAGGCCACTGGAGCAGGTGTGTGCGCTCTGACCATCTCCTAGAAGACTTGTTTGCGGGGAAGGAAGGAGGCTCCCAAAGGCTGAGTCACTGTGCCCAAGGTCAGGGACCAGCGGACGGCTCAGGTTTTCCATTAACAAACCCGAAGTCTGGTTCCCTATGTGGCCCACACCCCCTGCTCCCAGCAGCTGGCACAGCTCCGTGCCTCACAGGTCCGCGGGATACCTTCCTGCCCAGTGGTTTGCCCATGCTGTTACTTGCTTCCTCCTAGGCTCCAGAACACTCTTGGGAGATGTTTTTCCTCCTCAGGACATTGTTCTGCCAGCAAATATTTATTAAGCACCTACTGTATATTGGGC